TGAGCGTGAGAGATTTTGTTGAAAATTTCCGGTCGAGGTGTCAAGAGCAATTATAGGATTTTCATTTTGAGTGGTCTCATATATAAGTATTTATAAAGACTGCAGAATTTATTTTTTGGGGTCCTAAGGAAAACATATTTTTTTCTTTTTTTGAAGATGAAAAAGTAGAAGAGACGATCATTCACAAAATATACAATAAGTGACTGACTTTTGCTGCAATCTGTATGGGATTTAAAGTGATTATACAATATGTTTGAGGAAGAAGAAAATTATACACAGTTTCCTCGTCGCCAGTGAGTTTGCGAAAGTGTCGATAAGTACCGGATGTGAGTGTGTGTCTCGATCATCTCAAGTGCCGCGTCTCTTCTATTATCCCTCTTTTCCTTTTTTTTCCGTATTTCTCGAATTTTTTTTTCTTTTTTTGTTTTTAAATTTCGAAACTCACCGAGACAAATTAATTTCCGTTTATTTTAGGCGCCGCTCATAAAAATCAGTGGTCTACGAACCACAACATAATAATTCTATATTATTTTTGATCCTAATCGAATATTAAATTTTTTTGGATCAATTGAGAACGATTTCATTTCTATAATTCTATTAACCGTTATTTTTTGTTTCTGCGATTTGGCAAAAAAAAAAAAAACCCGCAAATCTGCAAAATTCTCAATAAATTAAAAATACAATCCTTTCGCTATATAAGGAAGCAGAAAGAATGTATTTTTGTTTTAAATATTACATTTATGTATAAAATCAAAGGAAATTAAAATTACAAAAAATAAATAAAAGTATGAAGAATGGGAGAAATTTTGAATATGTACCCTTTTTTTTATTTGAAGTCTGCACATAGAGAAAGAGAGACGAGTTACATTTTTTGTCTTCATGCATAAAAAGAAGTTAAATAAAAAGATCTTTTTTATCTTTTCTTCTTTGTTTCTTTTTTTTTTGGTTAAAAATTCTTTTTAAAAAAACTTCGTTATATATATACTTTGTTTGCTCTCAATTGTCCCTTTAACTTCCGTAATTCGTTTATTCTTCATCTTCTCGACATTGTCAAAAAATTTGAATTTCTTAAACCCTTTTTAACACAGTGGGACAAAAATTTAACTTCATTTCCATCTTTATTTATATTGTTATTCAATAAAAGAAAATTTTTCATTCAACTTTCTATTATTAATTCTTTTATATATCAAACAATGTTTCTTTATAGAAATTTTACACGCGCGGCACTCTATATATATATGAATATTTCAAATTTTCTAAAAAAAACATAAATATTTTAACTATATTTTTAACTATAAATAATAATTGAAATAAAAATCCTAAATAAAAATAATAAAAATAAAACTGAAATTAATAATTGCTATACATTTTTTTACTAATTAACTTATGTAATAACTAATAAATATAAATTTTTATTAATTAACTAATGTTTTAACTAATAAATAACAAATTATTATTATTTTTCACAGCAAAATATGTATATTGTAAAAATGGTCCAGTGGGTAAGTGACGTGATTGTTAAATTTGCGTCCAAGGTTCGATTCCCGATATCGAAAAGTATCTTTTTCAAAAACATATTAAACGATAAAACGAAGTAATTAGAAAATTATTTGATTTTAAATTTAAAAAAAGTCTTTTTAAATAATAAATATTAGATTAAAAAAAATTTGAATGATAAATTATTAATGATTACAAATTATTATAATTATTATATTAACTAATACAATGAATTAAATTTCTTTTGTCGAAAATACTTTTGCATTTCAATACCATTGAAGAATGACCATTAACGCCTTTCAATGAGAGTAAAAATTTTAAAAAAAGAAAATAAAAACAAAACCCCGAAATTAAGCAGATAGGGGGGAGGGGGTAAGAAGGAAGAATAATACGATAAGAAAAAGGAGAAGAAGAAAAAGAAAAAGAAAAGGAAGAAAATAAAAAAGGGAAGAAATTATAAAGGGGTAAAAGGTGAAAGAAATACCATTTTGCCCGGGAGCGACGTGTTCACTAATTATGCAAAATAAATAAAGGCACGCGCACATTCTTACGCTTCTGCTCTTTCTCTCTCTCAGTAATATATAGATATATACGCATATTGTATATCTATATTGCGAAGCATAGGGGCGGCACTACCATGCATTTTGTAGGTACATTAGTAATCTGTACAGCGCCCCTACAGGTGGTGTCAGATACTACTTAAAATTATGCCTGCCGCGCCGTGGCAGCATGCTAGCCAGCCCTTATATATACAGTTTTCACTGAAAATTTAAATCTTATTGATAAAAATTGTTGTAAATACCTATTTATTTACTTTATTTAATAATAATAGTATCAATTGACAATAATAATAATTAATAATAATAAAATAAGAAATTTTTTTAAATGATAATTATTTTTAAGAAATCGGGTGTAAAAATGAGTGGAAATTGTTTAAAAAAAGAACACTTTTAAAAAATTTATTTATTGTTAAATTTAATAAATAATAAAATGTGAAAACTTATAATTCGGTAGATACCCAATTATAAGTTCTCACTATATTATTGTATTATATTGTCAGCCCTGCTTGCCAGTAATTTAGTTATGGCTGTTGACGTACAATAGTTGTAGATTTGACCAATCAGAATATGTGTATAAAAAATCCAGTTATTTTATTGGTCAAAACTGTTCCACCAATCATTTCTTTTCCCACCATCACCAGTTGCTCAGTGCAAATTTGCAAAACATTTAAATAACGGAAATAACTTTTCGGTAAGTATACATACCTTTTTAATTGTAAGATTTCTTTATTATAATTTTTTAAAAATATTATATCTTAATTTCTGTTTTTCAATAGCGGTTTAGAATTTTTTAATTTAAACAAATAAATAATTTTATTTTAGAATATTGCAATGGACCAAGACGGGGATGTCGACGATGATGAATCCTCGCAGGAATATTTTTCTTGCGCGGAAGAAGTCAGCGATGAGAGGAACGAAATTCCTGGTAGGTTTTTAATTATATTAATTGGGAAAATTCTCTGCACGCTCAAAAATTTGAAAGTGTTACGACTTTTTCTAAACATTAAAACAAAATATCACAGTTTTTAGTTAACTTTTTAATATTTTTCTGTAAAAAAATTTTGTTAGGGAGATTAATTTTAATATCAGTAAATTGAGAGGGAAATTGTTAAACTGAAACTTGTGATCACTCTGATAATAAACAGTTATCAGTTTTAAATTACTAATAATTATAATGGTAATAAATAAATAATAATAAATAATTTTTAAAATGTAAATAAAATAATAAATTTTTTTTCAAGATTCAACAACTTCCAAAAAGAGAAACTGGCAGGACTCTGAGGATTTGGAGATGGGGCCTGCCGCCAAGAGGAAGACTCCAATGGAGCATTGGGGGAATTCTCTGATTAAAGAAATTGCCGAATTCAGCAGCAGTGAGCGGTACCAAATAAAAAAAAACATTATGAAATACATGGCTGAAATGCGCCAAAAGCATTTGTAATTATTAATTACAATCTTTTATTTTTATAAATGTTTTTTGTCATCTCAGAATAGATTAAAAATAAAAAAATAATATTTCCATTATTATTTACAGCTTTATTTAATACAAACCTTTTTATATTATTATTTTTTAAATTATTTTTGACTATTTTTCAAATAATACGAATTTTTCGACATTCGAAAATGTAACTTATTTTGATTTTTATATTAACTACTATATACAAATCTTTAAAAATTTATTTTTGAATAATTTTTTAAATTAAGTTTTAAGAATATACAATTTAAAAGATTTTAAATGATTGAATTTTTTCAAAATGTAATTAAAAATAATTTTTTTCAATTATTTTATTACAATTGTTGACAATTGAATTTTAAAGAATTTTAATTAAAAATTTTATAAATAATTAAATTCTCAAAAATTTTAATGAATAATCTTTAAGTGATGATTCAATAAAAATGGAAATTAATGAAAATTAGGTCGCAAAATTAATATTAAAATAATTTTGAAAAAAGTAATTTTTTGAGTTACTTCGTTTAAATTTTTTAAAATTTATGCTCTCAATATTTTCGATATTTCTGAAAATTCGAATACATACACAAAATATCAAAATTTTTAGAATTTTTAATATGAAATTGTAAAACTATTTTCTTTCAAAGACAATAGTTGGCTGCGATTTTTCTTTTTATCCTACTAAATTCTTTTTCTCGATGTGAAAAAATCAACAATTTGAAATTAAAAAAGCAATTAAATCTCAATTTAAAGCGCACTTCACTGCATTTTTTTGCGTTGCTAGTGATTGCGATTTTAGACTTTGATGATATCTATTATGACTGCCTATTATTTTATATTCTATTGGACGTTATCTGCTTTTGACATTTTGATAATTTTGAAATGGATTTAAACGATTATCGTAATCACAATGCATCTTCATTTTCTTCGTACGACCTCTACGAATTTCTTCAGCACACGGGTCCAAATGACGTTTTCTTTTTTGTCGTCCTCATCATTCAATTTCGATCTTCCTCCATTCCAATTCATTACTGCAAAAACCAAAGAAATTTTCAATTTCTATTTATTCAATTAAAACATTTTTAATACTAGTCATTATTCGTCTTTCAAAAAAGGAAAATTTAAGAGAATTTTAATTGAACTTTTAAATCTAAAACTAAAGTACAAAAATGTAATTAATCCTTAATTCATTTTTAATATTGGAAGAAAAATTTCATAATTGATTCCTTGAAAAATGAGATTAGTGAATTTCTTTAAAAAAAACCAATAAATTCATTATTAAACTAGCGCGTAAAATAAATGAGAAAATGATATAAATAAGAATTAATTAGATTCGAAAATTTTCCAAAATTGTTTTTCGTGGCGACTTTTCATTTTTTTGGAACACTGCCTCAATGTAAATATTTTTTCGCCAATGTCGAATGTTTTGTTTTTTATCTTTGTAGGAGAATTTTGATTTTGTTCTAGCGATGGAAATGTCATGAATGAAGGTTTTTCATTGGACGTGCAAATAATTTTGAAAAAATTCAATTTTTTGTTAATATACTGACCATAATCCACGATGCGATGTTTTCAATAAATGCGAACAAATCGTTTCAAAGCGATGGGGGTCACCAAATGCATTTGGAGTTGAATTGTAATTAAATATTCCACTATCTTTTCTAAAATGTAAAAAAAATAAACTAATTTAAAGAAGAATTGGAAGAAAACTAGTAAAATAATTTACATTTATTGGAGCTGACCGATTGTTATGAGTGACGGACTATCCATTAGAAATGGCTGTTAAAGATGGTGCATGGATATCCTTTGACACTTGCCAATCATTACTACTGGCCGCCAATAGTCTATCAACTTTTCCTTTTTGATTATGTTTCAGAGAGGTGCTGTGATGAGTTTTATTATTATTTGGGAAGCGATCACTTCTTGTATTATACCGCTTGACTGAATGATTTACTCCATTATGAACATTTTTGGAAATTGGCGTAAAACTATTTCTATTTGAGTTGAACAACGACAATTCTTTTAAATTTATTCCAGATATGATGATTATGATTTCTCTTGTATTTTTTCGGTTGTAATGGATCAGTAAAAATGGAATTCTTTTGACCATTAGTCTGATGACCATTAGTTTCTTGTGACGATGGACTATTAATTGATTGATTGATGAATTCCTTGTGTTTTGAAGTATTGTCAAAACCATTTTGCGTGACAATACCGGAAGTTGTGTGTTTTGCGAGTTCATCGGTGCTATTTGTTGAAACTGTGTCAAGAAACTTTTCGACGTTAATATTCTATTCAATTTTATGTTTTGATTACTATTTTTGTGATTGTGACTCTCGGGTTCTAACGCCACAAATATGGACCCATGTCCACTATTTGTTCGGACTGAAGACATACCGGGGACAATTTTAAACGTCATAGCCACGCCTGCAAAAAAGAATGATTAATGTAATGAGAAAGACAAAGTAATTGGTAGTTAATAAATCTACAGTTCATTTTAATACTTACTGCTTATTGGTTCCTAATCTTCTCTTATGGTAACTAATGTAGTGATCACGTGCTTGTTGTTCCACCGTACTGCCAGTATGATGCATTACGCTTCCATTTAAAAGGCGATTTAAATGAGTAGACCATTTATTGATGCAGTGATTGATAATCATCAGCAGAAATTTGTTGCTGATTACATCTCGATGGTTCTTGCATGTCACCCATTCGAAGTCAATTTTTCGTAGCAGCACGTTTTTTAATTTATAGGATACTTCTCGCTGGAAGCACATCAATGGTAATTCCCGGAAGCATGTTGAAGTTGCTTGGATGAAACCTCTTTCAAAATAGTTCATAGCGGTGTTCGTCAGAACATCTCCTTCTACTGTTTCGAAAAAACTCTTTTGGCATTCAGCACAATCCGAAGGGCAATGCTTGGAGAGTAATTGTTTTGCGAAAGTAAGCGCTACTTTCTTGTTAATTTGAAAAGAGAAGCAATGTCTTCTGTTCGTCGCTCTTTTAGGATTGTGACGTGGTTCATCATTTTCAAATAAACCCTCATTAATTTCCTCAATTTCTTTTTCGCTGCTGAAAATAAGGCTTTGCAAAGCAAAAAGACCTTTCCCGTAATCTGGCAGACAATTTGACCCCACAGAATGGTAAGAAATTAAATTATTAATTAGTAAAGTTTTAAATACGCCATCTGCTTGATAGCAATTTAACTTTACAAAACGACCACTGTGATTTCGCATGCATCCAAAAAAATTTTCCAGTGCATCCTGATTTAATAGTCCCAGCTTCAAATACTCGAAGCCAAGATTTTTCACTCTCGCCCAAACTATCTCCAATGCGTCCAAGATTTTCGGCCATGCATTTAAGCATGGAGGATTCGGTAATGGTTTTTTGGATGTCATGTCTACATATCGCATATTTTTTAGCGTTTGTTTCGCTGTATTCCAAAATTGAATGTGGACGCTATCGTCAGTTAGTACACCTCTCAGTGGCTTTTCTGGGTTTAACTCTTGTCCGTTCACAGAGTCAAAAAGTTGGTCTCTAAACAGTGCATAATTTGCAGCATGTCTGTCTTCTTCTTTCATCTCTAAAGTACCGGTGGATGTATTTACAATTGCTGTGAAAAAAATTAAATTTGTTAAAAAAATTTATCATGTCTATAAATAAATAAATAAAGTTACGAAACAAACAAAGAAATTAAATTAACGATTCGAAACAATTATACGTGCATATTATACGAAAAAAATTAGTTAGAAAATCCAATTATTCAAAAACATGTTTATTATAGATATATTTGAAAAATTTGATTGTGATTAAAAATTATTCATTAATCATTTTTTAAAGATTTGTTAATAACTAGTTATTTTTCGCACTATGAAATTCGAAATAAGCTGCATTGTATTCTAAAAAATGTGTTAATTCGTTTTAATATCTGGAAGACAAGACGAAAAAGTAAAAATTTTTGAAAATAACCTAAAAAAGGTTCAATTTTTATCATTTCTCTAACAAAAAAAGTTTTCCTGTTATTTTCCTGTCTTTGCTGACAAAAATGTTTTTTCTTGACATTTCCCTAATAACAAATTTCTTTTCTTAACATTTTTCTGACTTTACTGACATATGGTCACCCTGTATTACAATTAATTTTGTACTAAAAATTTGAAAAACTAATTGTGAGCATTAAAAATACTATTCATGTTTATTTCTAAGTCATAATGGAACAAATTTCCTAACTGAAATGAAACAATTTTCTGGTTTACCAGGTCATTTTCAATTTCCCTGACATTTACAGGTTTTTCAGATATTGTAGACACTCTGTCCGTAGTATATTTAATATAAAAATAAAAATTTACCTTTTTTCAGCAAACAGAGATTAATAAAAGAGGACATTGATTGGCTCAAGACGTTGACGGCATATGAAACTTTCATCTTCTTTATTAATTTCGGATTAATGTGTTCGTCGGTTAGTTTAGGGAGAAATCTGTCCATACTGTCCGAATTCCTGTCCATTTCATACGCCACCTCAAAAGTTTTCCAGGAAATAAATTTTCTGGATACAGTTGTGTCTCTTTCTGAGTCTTTGAAGTCTACCTCTAAATTTTTATCCAGCAAATTATTTCTGTCGCTTTTTGCGACATGAGGAGGGTCAAACATAAAACACATTTTACTGTTTTCTAAAGTTAACTCCACTGGGCGACCTACAAAAAAAAATTTTTAATTATTGAAGCGTATATATGTGTAAGCAGGAAGTTTAGAAACTTTTGATATAACAATAAATAAAAAAATTAACAGTTTTGCAAAATTTTAATTTCTTTACAAGTATTGCGATAAACAATTTGTTCCTTTAGAAATATACGCAGGGCTCGAAACAGTGAAAGTATTTAAAAATACGGACTTTACGGACCAAAACTTAGAAACTACGGACCATTTACGGACCAACTGAAAAAATTGAATCAGGCTGAATCAAATAAGAGAACATTTTACTTAAAACTAGAAATTCAATTTTCCATAACTATAAAACATGAAGAAATCGATAACTCATCAAGTCATCGATTTCTTCATGTTTTATAATAATTAATAATAACTATTAATCAAATAATTTATAATAATTAAAATTATTATCAATTCAATTATTATTTTAAGGAATTTCTATCTGAAATTCTTCTTTATATCGATTATTTTTAATAATTTGCGAAAAAGTTCTTGACAATATTCAAATTCTAATATTCAATTTTACGATATTTTAATTACTCGAAAATTCTTTAATTAAATAAATATTAGAAAATAAAAACTTAAAATATTTCCAAAATAAATTCAATTATTTTCAAAAAAAATAAATTACAAAATTCAATTACTTTTTTAAATTCACGCTATATTGCTTTTAATATTCAATTATCTAAAATTTTAAATAAAGTTCATTTTTATGAAATGAAAATCAATTTTTATTAGAAAATTCTACTAGAATTCAATTATTTAAATACAAATAAAATGCAAATAAATAATTTATTGAATAATTGAATTCTGCATTGAATTTTATTATTTATAAAAATATTTGAATTCTTGCGAAGAATTTTATTAAAATTTTCAAAAATAATTTAATTCTTGTAAAAAATTAACAAGAATTCAATTATTTAAAAAAATTTTAATAAAATTCTTAGCATAAATTAAAAATAATAAAATTCTTCTCAGGTATTCAATTACTTTCAGAAATTTTAATAAAATTTTTCGCAAGAATTAAAATATTTTCGTAAAATAATAAAAATCTTTGCAGAGATTCAATTATTTTGAAAAGTCTTAATAAAATTCTTCGCAAGAATTCAATTATTTTTAAAAATATCAAAATTATAGCAGGAATTCAAACATTTCAAAATGTTTTGATAACACTTTTTTGGTAGAAATTCAATTATTTTTAAGACAATTTGAAAAAAAAAATTTTATTCAAAATTTTAAAAATAATTGAATATTATTACTTAAAAAAATTATTGAATTTCGGAGAAGAATTTTAATATCTCTAAAGATAATTTAAATTTTGTCGAGAATTGTTAAAAATTTTTTAACATAATTGAATTTCTGCAATCATTTGCAATTTCTCTAAAATTCTCAAAATTATATCGTACAATTTACGAACTTTTCATCCTTTTTGAATAAAATTACGGATATTACAGACCTTTTTTCAAAAAAACGGACTTTTACGGACTTAAAGCAAAGTTACGGACTTTTCCAGGATTTACGGACCTACTTCGAGCCCTGATAATATAGATATTATACTTTTAATTCTAACTTTTTTCTTTTTCAAAAAATAAGTATTAAATTTTATTTTTACTGAAAATTCCAAAAAATGTTGGGAATAATTTTTAATTAAATTAAACATAAAATTATTACCTGGATCAACACCTTTTTTTAAACATTTCGTTTCGTGCTGATTTCTTAGTTCCTTCAAAGCTTTGCGATTAGCGGCTCCTTGATCACAAATTAGCAGGATTATATTTAATTCGGTTTGAGAAACAGCTCTGACATTTTCTTTAATGCATTTTGTTAACTGTTCCCATTTAGTACCAGAGTTAACATGGTAATAGGAAATTGGCATCTTAGTACCACTTTTCACACCACGTACCATAAAAACTAAAATGTGGTCTGCAAATTTGCTGGTTCTCTTGTCCCCAAAGTCCTCAAAACCAATTAACTTGTCCTGCTTGTGATCGTAATGGACAAAAGGCTGTACGCTGAATTCGTCCCAAAGTAATGCCATAACTTTCTCCCGGTCATCAGACATTTGCATAACTGATTGTTCAACTTCTTTAAAAACATTTTTATTTATGCCAGTATGAAGATGAACCTTATTTAAATGTCTTCTTAAGGTTCTGGCAGATGGCATTATGAAAATAGATCTAAGGAAAGTGTAGCACTTCTTAGATATCTTCAAAATTGCACTACACATTGTTTTCTGCTCTTCGCTGTATTTTCGATGTTTTTCATCCTTTCCAGCATTATCCAGCTGCATCTGTAAAAATTCCAGCTGCGTTGATGTTAATTTCTTAGCACTAGATGGCAACTCTTCCTTAGCTTCCTTTAGTTTACGTGTAGTGCTAAAATTAGAATAAAAGTATGTCAAACAATTACAAATTTAAAAAAATACATGAATATTCCCTAAAAATCATATGAAATAATTTTAATACTAAAGAAATTTTCATTCATTTAATTTTATCAATCAAAATTTTTATAAAAAGAATTTTTAAACAGAAATTTTCTACACATTTCATAAAACTCGATCAATTAGAAGTTGAAACAAATGAGTATAGGAAATATTCATGTGCATCTTAATACTATTGAAAATTTATATTTAATTTGTATAGATAATATATACTTATATACAAATCCCCCTTTTTTTAAATATTTTAAATTGAACACTTTTTCAAAATCAAATCAAACACTAAAAAAATTCAATTTTGGAGAAATTACAATAAATAATTGCAGAAATTCAACTATTTAAAAAAATAAAATTCTTCTTATAAAATTCAACTATGTACAAAATTTGAAAAAAAATTTTGTAAAAATCCCAATTATCTTTATAAGTAACAAAATTCTTCTCCAAAGTTTAATTATTTTCCTAAATATATCAAAAAAATTCTTGTCCTAATATCAATTATTATCAAAAATAAAATGCATTTTTCTAATTTCAATGATTTTAAATTATTTTAATAAAATTTCCCAAAAAAAATTCAATTATTTAAAAAAAAATTAATAAAATTGTATGCAAACATTTAATTATTTTCATAAATAATAAAAATTTCACAGGAATTCAATTATTATTTTTATAAATAATACATTTTTTAAGGAATTCAATTATTTTTATAAAAAATAATTTAAAATTCTAGAAAATAATAATTGAATTAAAATGATGAAAATAATTTTGATGAAGTTACAGTAACAATATTCTTATAATAATATAAAATAATGAATTTATTACTTGGTCTTCTTTAATTATTATATCCAAAAGTAAGATTAAAAAAGCAGGAATTTCGCAAATATTTTTCTTCTGTTTTTAAAACAAAATAATAATTTTGTTAAACAAATTTTTATTTATAAACCAAAATAATGCAAAATAAATAATTGCATTATTATTAACTTTTTTTATAATTTTTCTTTTCAAATATTTTCAATTATAAAAATTAATATATTGAAAATCATCGAATTGTTGCAAAGAATTTTATCAAAAAATTTGATGATAATAGAATTCCTTCAAAGAATTTTATTATTTAGGAAAATAACTGAATTCTCACAAAGAATTTTATTAAAATTCTTTAAAATCCTTATTAAATTCTTTTGAAGAATTTCTTTGAATTTTTTTTAAACTAATGGAGCTTCTTTAATAATTTTAATTGAAAATTTTGAAAGCAATTGAATTTTATGAAGAAGAATTTTATTAAAAGTGAATTGAAAATAATTGAATTCATCTGAGGAATTCAATTAAAATTGTTTTAAAAATCATTGGATTTTTGTAAAGATTTTACTATTGAAAAAAATAAATGAATATTGTTTAGAAAGATTTTACTATTTATAAAAAATAATTAAAATGTTTCGCGAGATTTTTAAACATTTTAAGAAATAATTAAATTGTTATGAAGAATTTTATAGAAATATTTTTAAATAATGGAATTTTTTCGAGAAATTCAATTAAAGTTGTTTCGAAAATAATGGCATTTCTTTAAAGAATTTTATTAAAATTATGTATATTTAAAATCATTGAATTCATCACAAGAAATTAATTACTTTTTGGAAAATAATTGGATTCTTTAAATTTTTTGACGAATATATTTAAAAATTGCATTAAAAGTAATTTAATTTTTATATAGAATTTTTTTTAAAAATATTTTGAGAATAATTGAATTATTTTTAGAGAATTTTAAATTCTTGTTGAAATTGCATTTTATGGAAATTTTTGAAAATAATTAAATTCTTTCATGTAATTTTATTTAATTTTGATAAAAAATAATTTAATTCTTGTAAAGAATTTTATTATTTATAAAAATAATTGAATTTTCAAAGGATTTATTAAAATTTTAGAAAATATGAACAGTAATAATTAATTTTGTACTTAATAAGTGAATTTTTTTATATTTTGATTATGAAATTATTTAAAAAATTTATATTTGAAGATTAAAAATATTTGTAATTTGCATAAGAATAATAAATTGAATATCACGTTCCGCACGTAAAATTTTCTATTAATAAATATACAATTTGTCTAAAGATAACAAAAACGAAAATTTAAATAGAAGATAACTTTAGAGTGTGAGGGACAGAAAAAGTGAATGAATGAAAGAATGAAAGAACATTCAAATTAATATAGTTAATTTTTGAACAATTAAAAATTATTTTTCAACTTTTCTAAAACTTTATTTTAAACCTTTTGAAATATCTATATTAATAATATTAGTAATATTAATTTAATATTCTAAAATTTAAAAACTAGTTACTTATTTTATAAATTATTGTAGAGATTGTAGAGAAACGAATTAATGTTAATACAAAATAATAATTAAAATTTTTTTTAAGAAAAACAGAATTTTATTTACTTACTTTATTTAATACTAAAAAATTAATTTTTGTTCTAATTAATTCAAATATAAAGAAACAAAATTTATAAATTGATTTTTTTTACTATTTCATAGGATGTGAGATTTTTTCTCTTTTATATTTTTTCTACGAATTTTATTAAATCAGTGACTTAAACAAAATTTAAGAATTCCATGAACATGGAAAAATTAAAAAAACATAAAAATTCACGGTAATTTCCCTGTCTACCGATCCAGTGGTCATCCGGTATTTTAAATGTAAATAAATAAATCCATAAGTTTTATATTCTTAATCAACAACCCCTGTTTATTTTGTTGTTCAATTATTTACACAATTCAAGACTCATACCTTTTTAATTTTAAGACAGCACGAAAATGTTTTCGTCGGATGTCTCTAGAGATGTTATGAATATTCTGCGCAACAGGCGTTAACACAACATTCTTTTTTTTCCCTAGAAACATGCGTTTTCGTTTAGACTTTACTACTTTTGGAACTTTTCTGGTTGTTGAAGTAGCACCAAAATGGTTTGGTTCATTGCTCGCCAGATCTTCATTTACAGCCAAAGTTGAATTTAAATTCGATGGTGGTGTACACATAGATACTGATTTCCGTACTTCATTCTGATTTTGACTGCTGCTGATATTTAAAGAATGGGAAAAAGCCGGAGATACAGTCACTGGAACTGGATTTTCGAAAATATTTTTTTCCTTTGGTGATACTTCAAATAACGTAGTCGCTAAACATAAGTAGCTGTTTTCATTTAAATCTTCATTGGAAGGTTCCAAATTTTCACCTTCGGGATCACAAGCCATCTCAACACTTTCCTGTTCTTCAAGAATAGGTAAATGTAGTGTTGGTATCGCAGAATCTTTTAATCTTTTGAATTTACTCTTAAATTCAATAAAATCCTCTTCAGCGAAATGTTTGGAACAAATGACATACTGTTTACGAAGTACATCAAGAGGAAGATTGTCCAGAGATGGATTGTTTACGACTTCGAGCCATCGCTTCACCCTATTTAAATCGTTTGGCAGTGTGTGCCCAGGATTGCGAGCACCTTTAGTACAATTTCTTACAATGCACTTTCCCCGCATTGCGACAATTCTATAAAAGAAAAAGTTTGAATTATTAACAAATGGAAATTTCTTTACGTCATTATTACTTCTAGTTTAAAAATAATAAATTTCTCTAAAATTAAAAACTTCTACTGCTTACACTGTAAAAAAACTTAAAGAAATTTTATCAGTAAAATCCCTTTTTCTGGAAAAATACTATTTTTAAAATGTTTCCCCAAAAAAGCAATTTTTACTTTTATCGAATCAATTAATATTTCTATTTTTAATATAGCAAAATCACTTTTTCAGACTTCGCACACAATAATTAAGTTTGAAACGTATAAAAAAAGCTTATTCAAACTAAAAAAAGTAACTATCGAAAAATTAAACTTGACATATTTTTTATTTTCCTCACTTTTTCCTAATTTTTTTTTTAATTAATTAATCCTAATTTTTTTTTAAATTTTTTTTTCCTAATTTACGGAGTGTCTATTTGGCCCGTCACCCCACTTCCATACATTTCAAGACGGGCCAAATAAAAAAAGTAGTTTATTTGGCCCGTCAGATAACAAATTAGCTGTAATTAATAACAATAGATTATTATTATTATTACTATTTTTACAAATAGATTAATTTAATCACCAGGTACTATTTTTTACATGAATTTGACAGGTAATGTAAAACTCAATTAGTTTAAAAATCTACTATTGCAATACAATTTCACCAAAGAATGTAATATTATTTATAAACAAAATTTTGATAAAATTCTACGTGAGAATTCAATTATTTTCATAAATAAATAAATTTTTCGCAAGAGTTCAATTATTTTTATAAATAAAAAAATTATTTTCAGAAATTCAGTTATTTTAAAAAATTTAAATAAAATCCTTCTCAAACATTGAATTATTTTTATAAATATTAAAATTTTCACAGCAATTATAACTTTAGAAAAATTTTTATAAAGTCCTTTGGAAGAATTCATAAACAAAATTTTAGGAAATAATTAAATTAAAAAAAATCGCACAAATCCAAGACTTTCTCATTTTTTTATGAGAATTTAAAAATTGTATACTTAGGAAATTTTCATTATTGTAAAAATAATATTTTAATTTTTATATTTTTAAAAAGTTAAATTTTAGAATAATTACAGTTAAAGTGAGAAAAAGTGAAATTATTGAAAAAGTAAATGTAAGTATTTAAATGTTTATTTAACTATGAATAAAAATTAGCCTTTTCAAGAAAAGCAATTGAAATTTTTTTTAGTTACATTCCCGTAAATAATTTTAAAAAATGAAATTAACTTTCCAATTAATTGGAAATTTTGTCAAATTCCATTGAATTATAATTTATATTTTAAAGAATTTTATTGTTTACTTTTAAAAATTATTTTTAAATATAATTTATAATATTATGTACTAAATATGTTATTATAATTTGCATCTTTACTTTGAGGTTAAAATATATAAACATTACCTGTCAAATTTATGTGAAAAATAGTACCTGGTGATTAAATTAATCTATTTGCAAAAATAGTAATAATAATAATCTATTGTTATTAATTACAGCTAATTTGTTACCTGACGGGACAAATAAACTACTTTTTTTATTTGGCCCGTCTTGAAATGTATGGAATTGAAATTTGAAAATATTGAAAAACACTGAATTGAGAAAAGTTTTTAAAAATAATTAAATTGTACAAAAAATTCTATTTTTTAAGAAATTTTAAGAAAATACTAGGTATTATTGAAAATAGTTAAATCATTTTAAAGAATTTTATTGTAATTTTTGAGAATATTGTTTTTTGATTTCTAGTATTTGCGAATTTAAAGTAATGGAAGTTCTTAAAAAAAAATTGATATACAATGTATTTACATAACCTCATTGAATATATCAATTTTACAGATTTAAAAAAAATATTATGGATTTTATACTTTAGTTAAACACTTACCTAGAATCACTTCAAAAATAATTTATTTCTTCCAATTTCTTCAGACCACGGAACTCATCTTTTACTTTTTAAACAGAAGAAAAAAACAAGAAAACAGCAAAAACACAACAAAACACCAGCAAACAGATTTAACAGATTATTTACACACGAGAATCTGACGAGAATATTCACGATAAATAAAATACAAGAGTGGAAACATGTTAACACTTTCGTATAATCGCGCTACTTGAGCCACCAGCGCCTCTGCAGTTGATGACGATAACTTCGTTATTAGTGTAACGAAATAAGACAGTGGCGTGCCCCCACTGTGTTGCGAAGCTCGCTCACACGCGATTTTAGGACCTACAATTACCGATCTCTCACGCGGTAGGCAAAATTTGTCTTGCCCCACCTTTTTCAGATCTCTTGCAAATTGTGCCTCAGCGAGCACTCAAAAAAATGGACCAAAAATTGAGAAAATAAAATTTAAAAAAGAAACATGCAGAAAAGACGTAAACCAGTGGAAGAAGGTTGAAAGAAATTAAAAAAGAAACTTCCTGCTACCAATAATAGTGCGAAACTACTGCGAGAAATTAAAAAATTAAATCATAAACAAAAAATAATAATTATAGTAGTAATAATAATATTTACACAGTTTTTCTAAGGACAATAACTGTTTAAAACTAGTTCTTAACAGCGTTTGTAACTATTTCGTAACTGTCTAAAACCAGTTTGTAACTATTTAAAACTAGTTCGTAACTGTCTGAAACAAGTTTGTAAAAAGTTTAAAACTAGTTCGTAACTATTGTAAACTAGTTCATAACGGTTTGAAACTAGCTCGTAACTATTGTAAACTCGTTCATAACTGTTTTAAACTAGTTCATAACTGTTTGAATTTAGTTTGTAACCATTTGAAACTAGTTCGTAACTGTCTGAATCAAGTTTGTAACTATTGTAAACTAGTTCATAACTGTTTGAAACTATTTTGTAACTATTGTAAACTAGTTCATAACGGATTGAAACTAGTTCGTAATTATTGTAAACTAGTTCATAACGGTTTGAAACTAGTTCGTAACTATTGTAAATTAGTTCATAACTACACGGAGAAAAAAATGCTGTTGAATCAATGACATATGGGTTTGATTCATTGAATAGTGTCATAACGGGCTGCCTAACGTATATGCTGTTGTTTTGAAAGCACCGATTATAATGATTCGATAGTATCACTTTCTTTGAAACAAAAGCATATTTCTCAAATTGACAGCATACTATGTTAATTCGAAGGTGAATCCTTTTGAATCAATAAACAAAATTTTTTAATTTAACAGTATATGCTTTTGAGTCAATGACTATAACTTTTAAATTTAAAAGCATCATTTTTATGATTCAAAAATTTGTACTCTTAATTTTTTTAGTTGTTGCTATCGATTGAATAACACCATACTGTTAATTCAATTCTTTTATGTGGTTAAATATATACCAACGATAAATTGAAAAAAGGGAATTTTTGTTCACATGTTTTTTATATACTATAATTAATTCTCACACCTTTAACACAACACTTTTTATACACATCTTTTTTTCAATTTTTCACACTAACATATACATCTTTATTATTATTTTCATTTTTTCCAACGGCTAAACACACACACACATACACATTCAAACACACTTATCTTTTTTAGTCAGAAAAATAGGCTATTCCCAAGCGGTCACCCATCCGTTTAGTAACCGCGACCAACGACGCTTAACTTCCGTGATAGACGAGAACCGCCGCGCTGCAATGTAATACATCCGCTTCTCAACGTTGGGCACTTACTTTGTGGTTAAATACCGTGCTCGAGATTTTTCGCGTATATAAGGGAATTTATATAGGGAATTTATATTTAACTAGTCATTAATTAATTAAAAGAATTTAAATAATACTTTTTTATATTGGAATCTCAAAAACGACAGGTTTAATAAACATATAAATATATGTGGGTAAGTATTTCAATAAATTTAGTACCTGTCAATGTCTCAAAACATAGTGTTCTTATTTTTATAGCATATGCTATAGGCAGTCCGCAATAGCACCACTCATTGAAACGAAAGCATATGCTTTCGTTTTCAGAGCGCGCTTCTTTAGAGCAAACAATTTTTCATTTGATTTAAATTTAGACGCATTTTCTTCAAATTTATCTATTAGATGCTTCAAATGAATAATGTCAAAGAAGCAAAAAAATAATTCTGTTGCTATATATAGATGAACTATAGAAACAATTTGCACAATATTATTAATTCTACAGTACCGTACTTTTAATTTAAACAGTTTCATTTTTTCATTTTAAGCAATATACTTTTCGATTAATAAATGTGTCATTGAATCAATGACGGGGAATTCAATAGCATGGAGATATTTGATTCAACAGCACTTTTTTTTCAGTGTATTTGAAACTAGGTCATAAATGTTTGTAAATATTTCGTAACTGTTTGAAACTAGTTCATAACTGTTTGTAACAATTTCGTCACTATTTGAAACCAGTTGGTAATTGTTTTAAACACGTTTGTGGATATCAATTTGATATCCTTAGAAAAACTGTAAATAATAATAGCAATACCTAATACTTAAAATAATGATAATAATAGTAATAATTGACAATTATTATTGACATTAATAATTATGAATTTTCGAAAGAATGTCTAATGACTAATTTTCAATAAAAAAAAAAAATATATATATAAAGAATGGGAATTGGAAATAATTTTTTGAAACCCCTCATTATTGATACTTAGCTAATCGTTTAAAAAATATTTTTTTGATAGAAGGAAATTTCTTATGTGATGCGTGTGTGTATATTAAAACGAAGTCTGTGGATGAAAACGAAAAAAAAATATGTATGCTTATCTGGAGGTTTAGCAACGAGAAAAAAAAACGAAAATGAAAGAGGACTATAAGAGAAGGAGAGGGGAAGCAAAAAAAAGAGAAGAAATGAATGGAAGAAGGATAACGGCCATTAGTCGAACCGCGAACCCTGCGAGCCCTCACTTTACCTTAATTATTTCCACGTGACTCGTCGAAAAATCTCACGTGCGCACTTCTTCTAATGAATACTAATTTTCAACCTCAATTCCTCCCAAGCCAACATGAAGCGCCCTTTTATATAGATTGCTTATCAAACTTTAAGAAAAAAAAGACGAAAACCTAAAGCCAACAATAAATAAAGAAAAAAAAATTGAAATATTATTAATTAATAAATAATAAATAACAAATAACTAAATAGAAAACAATAAAAAAACAAATAAATAAATAAACAACAAATACATAAACAAACAAAAAATAAAATACCTATTTGAAACTAGTTCGTAACTGTCTGAAACACGTTTGTAAAAAGTTTGAAACTAGTTCATAACTGTTTGAAACTAGTTCATAGAATATAAATAAAATACAGATAAATAACAAATAAGCAATAAATAAATAGAAAACAAATAAATAAACCAAAAATAAGCTACAAATAAATAGAAATAAACATAAACAACAAATAAAAAATAAATAAAAACATAAATAAACAGCCATTAAATAAAAGAAGCAAATAATTTTATAAAAAAAAATTTTCACAGAAATCATTCTCCATATTTGGCAAGTCGGACAAAAAGTTGATAATTGATTTGAATTTGAAGGGACAGGTCACATTTAATTAAATGTATAAGCGCGGGCAGTGATAAATATGTTGACGTGAAAACTCGATTTATGGTTTCGTCACGAGAGTTTTGTGCACTTGCCATTATAAGTAAGCAAAAATATATGCTATAGATATATATAAACACGTGTGTAAGTGAAAATAAATTTTAATAAGATACGTGGAAACAAGTTTTATGTAACGTGATATACAAGATACTGCGGAATGTCACTTAAAAGAAATTCCAAATGCATTCGGTAAATATATATATATATAAATATTCTGTGTGTTGATCTAGTTGAAAAGTCCCATTGCAATTACCATGTCAAATATTATATAATTTCTTGCATAATGTCAAAAGTTATTCATTAAACGGTAGAAAAAATAATTTATTTACTCTATTTATTTGGTTCATGAAAGAAACTAAGTTCTGATTATTTTGCACTTCAAATTTTTTTTGCCAAGGAGCAACTAATTTTAGACTATTTCAAACTTGTTTGAAACAAAAATTTTTAAACTTATTTTGAACTTTTTTGCAAACGTGTTTTAAAGAGCTTTCAAATCGTTACAAGCATTTATAAACTAGTTTCAAACAGGTACGAACTATTTTAGCAAATAGTTGCGAACTAGTTTCAAACAGTTGCAAAGTAGTTTAAAGAGTTACGAATAAGTTTCAAACAGTTACGAATTAGTTTCAAACAGTTACAAAGTAGTTTAAACAGTTCTGAACTAGTTTCAAATAGTTCCAAAGTAGTTTAAACAGTTACAAACCAGTTTTAAATAGTTACAAACAGTTACAAAGTAGTTTAAACAGTTCTGAACTAGTTTCAAATAGTTCCAAAGTAGTTTAAACAGTTACAAACCAGTTTTAAATAGTTACAAACAGTTACGAACTAGTTTCAAATAATTACAAATATTCATGAACTACTTTCAAACATTTATGAACTATTTTCAAACAGTTACGAACTAGTTTGAAATAGTTACGAACGAGTTTTAAATAGTTACGGAATATTTACAAACATTTATGAACTAGTTTCAAATAGTTACGAACTACTATCAAACTTTTTACAAACGTGTTTTATATCGTTACGAACTAGATTCTAACAGTTACAAACTGCTTCCAAACTTTTTACAAATATGTTTTAAACAGTTACGAACTAGCTTCAAACAGTTACGAACTAGCTTCAAACAGTTACGAACTAGTTTCAAACAATTACAAAGTAGTTTAAACAGTTCTGAACTAGTTTCAAATGGTTACAAACTAGTTTCAAACAGTTACAAACTAGTTTCAAGCAGTTATGAACTAGTTTAGGATAGTTACGAACTAGATTCAAACAGTTACGTACAATTACTTACAAATTTTTTACAAACGTGTTTCAAACTTGTTTCAAACTTGTTTCAAACTTGTTTTATATTACTTGTTTGGTACTAATATTTTAAACAGCTTGAAACAATTTGAAATATGTTTGAAACAGTTTGAAACCGTATGAAACAACTTTCAACTTATTGTTTATAAACACTTTTGAAAGCATTAAAAATATTTTGAAATATTTAAAAAAAATTTTGCAACAGTTCAAAATTAATTGAAACTAATTTTAAATAAATTTCCCCTACACATTAATTATTTCATATATTTTTTCCAAT